TTAAAACTGGTTTATTCTTTCTGATTACAACTTTACCGATACACTATTTTCAACAGTCGCTCTATAACAAACGTTTTAACAATGAACGTTAACTTCAACAATACTTTCTGACTGCAGTTCAATTACTCACTACCTACACACATTCTCCCGTCACGTTGTGAGCATCTTATATATATATACCAGACAAACATATATCTAGTAAATGCTAGGGTATTCACGAAGGAACAGGATATTTCTAGAAAATAGGTGGCGTGCCACTAGTCACGTGACCTCGCTGACGCAATGCTATCCTTTTCAGAAACAAACTGGGTCAGTCAGGAATAAAATGTATCTCTTTTCAAAATCTCATGTCTAATTTTGAAATGCTCCTTAGAAGATGGAGATTCTGCTGAAATTTTTACTGATGATATCTCTATCTGGTTAAAAGGGGTGCAATTTAAGCATTATGTTTTCTTTCTTTTCAAAAAAGTTTAGTCAAACTAGATATGTGAGTTTCTGACTGGGGTTTTCAATTTGCAATACTGAACTTTAAAGTATCTTCATATTTTCACTAAAAGAAATTAGGATTTTGGCTATTTCCCATCTGCATATTAAAAGTGTTTGAATATGATTAACTAGGAATTACTCTGGATTGTTGATAGTTCTTACACTCACATTAAGTCTTGTCACAGACACTTAAACTATCTGCAATGTGTTTCAGTTGTTCAGAATACTGTTTATCAACCATGTTTCTTCTTTACCAATTTTCTTTTTCGCCACAGCATGGTGGCTTATAGAATGCCTCCGAGTTTTTTACAAGTACAAACTTTCAGCTCATAGCTCCACCATCTATTGGCCAATTTGAGATTTAATTACAGTTCTGGACTCAGGAGGTCAATCCCTTTCGACTAATGTATTTGATCAGGCCAAAGGACTTAGAGATTAATTTACTCTAATTCTGCCTAAAAGAATTTAAATTTGAGAGTAGGCTGGTAGAGAACCGGATGAGTAATAAAATCAAACTGGGTATATGCGTACCCCACGCTTGGCATTGCTGGTGCACCAAAAATATAGCAATAAAAAGGAAAAAAAGGTCTCATAGATTAATTTACTCTAATCCTGCCTTACAAATTTCAAGTGCCATGACTATTGAGAATTCCCTCTTATTTATTTAAGGTAGACTAAAAATGTATTCTTTATCAGATTGCCTCTGCTTTTACACAACATAAACTTTATACAGTTTGCTGCCTTGCACACTTGCATAATCTTTGGAGTCATGAGTCTCTTCCTATTTGCATTACATGCACCAAGTTATTGACCATGATAATTAACTGACTCCCTCACCTCTGGCTGTCTGAGTAAATTAAACCTTAACAAACTTGTTTTGCAAAAGCTACCTTTTTCTTGACGTCACAAATTCCTATCACCTTTGCAGATCTATTCTAATTTTATTTTAATTTATTTGTATGCCAAGATATGGTAATCTTTCCAGAAATTAATACCTTGACAGCCTTGTCAAAGATACTCACAACAATATTACTGTTGATATTCTCTTTACCCTTATGTCTACACGATTTTTGTGAAAGCTGATCTAACCTATATAAAAGCCAGTGTGTGTCACATCACATCACGCTTGATTTCTTGAAATAGGATGAGTCATAAAAGTCAAAATGCATTTATCCAGATAGAATAGTTTGATTACTGTCTGCCCATTATGATTTTATTAATGGGGTGCAAGAGGGCCATGAGGGGTGGTGGTGTTATGAAACCTTACAAGTGTAGTGAGTGTTGGTATAATAAGCCTAAATTAAAGATGTAGTGTGGGATCACCTAGCCTAGAGCTAAATGCATAAAAATTATCATGAAGGTAAAAATATTGATTCAATTTTAAACTTAATTAAGCTATTTTCTGTTATATCACCAACGTTTTTAATAAAAAAGAAACCTCTTTAATCATTAGAGACTAAATTAAGAAATCAACAAAAATATTTTTCCAGTTTTGTTGTCTGTACATTTCATTTTATACTTTCAGTACATAGACTGACAACAATATTAGGTTATACTTTGGAACTTATTGTTGGAACATAGTGTTACCAAAATGCACTGGCTTTTCTTTATATTAGCAGTTGTTAATCTAACTGATTTTTAGCAATAATTATTCTACGAATAACCACAAATTCATTTCATGAATGATCTTAGTTTTGATTGGGTCACAAAGGAATTTGCAGATATTTGATTGCCTCGACTACACTTTTCTGCCTCTTTGTTTGTCAAGCTTGATTTTGAAAAATTTATTTATTTCAGTTAGCTATGAAATGTTAGGTTAGGGTATAATATGGAGTGGGGGTGATAGTACATTAGTTCTTCCACAGAATTCAGTTTGGGACAGGTTTCTTCACTGACCAGAAATTGTATTTTTTATTCCTTCCCACCTACATATCATGTTCACCTCCCTCACACATAACTTGGTATTCTTTATGCTCTCTTTATTGTGGTATATGTGGTTTAAGGAACTATAACACCTTTTCTGTCCACTAACAGGGTAATTTTAGATTGTTCTAATTATTCCTCCTCCCCTCACACGAGGTTTCACCAATCTCTTATAAATTTACACCACTTATTCACTTTAATGACACTACTAACCATTTTGAAATTAGCTTCTGTTTCTCAATGCCAGGTATTCTCTGCTGTCTTCCATTACTTCAAAGCTATTTCCCTCAAATTTTATGTTGGATGTTCCAGTACTTCTAGTTCTTGCTTAAACATGTCTTCAAATTGCCCTTTTCATTAGGTTATAGCAACTGTTTAGGGTTTCCAGAAATATTCAATTTTGAGCCCCTCAAAAACTTTCCATTTTCCATGGGCTTTATCCTCATGTGTTTGGTTCTATGAGGAGTGGATTGTAGTTTTAAATATTCCACTAACCTATAATTTTGTGATTAATTTTAACTTTGTATTTAGGCTAAAATTTAACAAACTTTCTTTTTACTGAGTAAGCAAGGAGACTTAACATATGTCAACAACAAAAGAAAGAAGGTGGGAATCAAGTTAACCTTCCACTACATAATGTCCAACAAACTAAAGTCAACAGCAACCTACAGTTACAGATATAAAAGAGGTGTAAATGATAGTAACCTCCCACATGATGTTAAACAGGGTAATTTGAGTAGTGATATACAACTATATTGTGTAATATAGATACCACAGTTAACATACCCATCCCTTTTTCTTCTTCTTGTTTTTCCCATCACTTAATTCTCCAGATCTAGAGTTTCCACTGTTACCACTGGACAAAGAGTTGACACTGGATACAGAATCTGTGGACATTTGTCTGGATATCTTGTGCTCCTGGAGCGCTGCATATTAGTACAAAAATTACTTTAAAGTACATGAATATTGCAAGAAGTATCATGTAATAAAGACAATGTATGGGACATACTCAATACATCCTCTTTAATATCTGCATCAAATTTATACTTAACATTTGAGAAATTTATGAGTAAACTTTAAAATAAAAGATAATAATTATATATTTCTACATTATAATGTAAAATGAGCTAGAATACATTTTTTGTTACTTGATTTTATTTGTTACCTGTTAAAAAACATTAAAGTTTAACTTAGTGGAATAAAGTAAAACAAATAAATATATTGTGTCAGCAAGAGAACCAGCAGAGAGGAAAAGCCTATTACATTCACAAAGGTAACAACTTTATGTTTGAATAGTTAAATCTATTAACTAATTCAAAAACTACATATCTTAATTCTCTTACATAAACTTATCATACAGGCATCCAAGTTGACATCATTAACAACTCTGTGTTTTATAAAATAAACAACAAAACATGCAGGAAACTTTAACTGTATGTGAAATATAACCTTTTTTTGTTTGTTTGTTTCAGAACATTTAAGGAAATTTCTATGATTAGATTAATTAAATAATGTTGGATGATAGGACTTACAACAAGTAAAACTATTTATTCGTAACATACAAAATAGACCACTTAGCAGGAAGTTTCTAGATCATTTCTACAGTCAAGCCTAAATCCAGATATTTTTTCACCAAAAGAATGTGTTTATAAATCTAAAATGCACAATCACACACTTTTTGAACTTGAATTACAGTTTGAAAACCTTAAACAATGCATGCCTTTCCAATTGTTCTAAATACAAGAAAACCTACACACTATAAGCTCTATCCAGCAATTTAGCATCATTATGGATAACAGCATGTTGTTATAATAATCATTCATACAAAAGAAAAGCAACAAAGCATCCAGCAGCCTATTAGTGACATTCACCTAACTAAAAAGCTAATTAACAATAACAGTTATGAGTTACTGAGTGAGTGTTGTTCAGCAAGACATGAGAAGAAAAGACAAAAACATGGATAAATAATAATAAAGAATAAATTGACACATCTAAGTGAAAACTTTTCTAGTATATTTTGTGTGATCTTTCAAGCAGATGCCCTTCTCCAGAAAGACCGTGTTACAATGGAATTAGGCCATTGTAATATGGTCTTTACTGCCTAACGAAGAGCATCTGCTCAAAATGTCACACAAAATAAAATAGAAAAAGTTTTCATTTAGATGTGTCAGTTTATTGTTTATCATCATAATTTATTCAAGTTACAAGTTATAATCACTTTTCTGATTTGTAATGTCAAGCTATTTTTTTTTTTTCAATTTGGAGCATTAGATTTAGCAATATCTTATAATAATCTTTAGATTCTTTTTAGAACTGTATATAATATACAGCTACTATTTATCAAAGAAATCATCACAAGTTGATAAAATAATAAAATCATCTCTTCAACGTATTGTAGCTATTGTAATAAAAGTTGTATCCTGCTTTTTATCAAAAGCCAACTTTTTTCTTACCATTTGAAAATATATTATGACAGAGAGTAAAATTTATAATACAAAGAACAAACCAAAATGCATGTGAAACTTCACGTTTGTTATCAGATTTGCACTCTGGGACTTGTGGCATAAGGTACACCATCCCATTCCCTTCATATATTTTACCCTCAAAGAGAAAAATACATGGAAAGGTTAAATTAGAATCGTTAATTTGGTCAACATTCCCCCTTGATAACACATTCTTCAAGTTTAATGGCATAAGAATACTTCTGTACAAAATGTATAGAAATCTCACAAATGTAATTATTATTTTCAACTGGAATAAGTTTTTGGAAACTACTTAAACAGAATCAAAGGATAAATCTGTAGTTATGATGAAAAAGAATTTTCATTTGGAGGAAATTTCCAAATTAAGAACACATTTCTAAGAATGAGTTTTGGTTTTGGAGAATTTTCATTCATAGGAGTTTGATAGCAGGAAAATATTTTGGATAAAAATTTGTTGAAAGGCTCATATATATGAATGAGGAAAGTGTTCACAAGTGTAAAAAGAAAAAAGGTTTCATATACATTTTCTTATTTAAACATTCAATTTTACCTACTGCCATATAGTTGTTACATATATGTATATAAAGCATTGTTAACTCTCTCTTTATTTAATACAAACTTTTTGACATTATTATTGTGGCATATACTAATCATTTATAATTAGTTATGGTAAATCAGTTAACTGATCTATCAGAGCTAAGCTCAAAAATGGACTGAATCTATGTTCCTAGAGCACACAACCTCAAACAGCGTAAAACTCTAGGTGTAAAATAATACATATATAGATAGATAAATACAAAATATATACAACAATACTGAAATCCAGATCAGTATATGACTGTAGAAGCACAGTAATATACAATAATAGTGTACATAAATATACAATAATAG